GGTCGGGGTGCAAGGTGGGAGTGAGAGGAACGCCCAGGTTCAGCCCAGGCGCTGGCTCTCCCACCGTTTTTTGCCAAGATGGGCAGATGGTGGTGGGAGCAGAGAGCAAGGGCTGGAGCCATGGGTTTGTTTTGGATGATTGAGAYTAGAGGCAGCTTGGAGGCCCCTGGAGAAGATGCTGACCGTCTATCTAGGGGTTGCGAACTCCAGTGTTGCAGGGAGAGACAGTGTGGAGGCGAAGATGTCTGAGAGCGAGAGCACCCTCCCTCTTGAGTCCACAGGGAGAGGACAGGAGGACACGCACGGGAACGGGCAGGCGGCCTGAGTGGAGGAGAGCCTGGAGGAGTGGGGACAGGGTGAGCAAAGCCCCTTTACAAGGCCAATGTCAGGACAGGCCCAGGGCAGCTGGATCCTGGCAATCTTTCCAGACAAGTCAGGGCTCTGGACTGTGAGTGCTTAACTTGGCAACTGGGAAATGAACATCCTGTGGACCCAGTGAACAGTRTCCAGGTCATCAGCCACTGGCTCAGACCAAACCTTCACTTGGGCACTCTTCCCTCCTTCAGGGACAGCTGGGGGCAGAGACTGGCCAGGCCTTGAGTGGGCCACATCCAGTCCAGCGTTCCCGCCACCATCCTTGAAGAGGAGATCTGAGCCTTTATGGCTCTGTTGCTACTTTGATCTAAGCAGAGGGGCCTGTAGTCCCCAATGCCCTGGCCTGACCAGGAAAGGCAACAAGGTGCCCGGAATGAGCAGAGCTGTGCGGGACTGGGGTCTGTGCCTGGCTGGGTGGGCCTGCTGGCTTCTATGTACTCTAAGCTGGGCTGTGGCCTCCCTAAGTGCAGCCTCCTGCCTGCCTGGCTCCCTACCCATCGTCCTCCACTCCTGACCTCCCAGGTGGCCTATGGTCTCCACACATCTGCTGAACCTCAGACACCTCATTTAAAGCAGGAATCACTGATGGGGGTGTTTTGGGATCAGGGCAGGGAGTGAACTCGCCCCTCAAGACCTTCCATGACATGTAACATCATCCACAGAAGCAATCTTTACAGATTTGCCCTTGTGTCTAGTCTTGGTGACCAAAAAGGGGTCACATGCCCACCTGTCCATCAGGGACCAATCTGAGCTTCACCTAACACACCTCTGGGCAAATTGGGGCTCTGTCCAAAGAGGTAAGAGGGGCCACATGCCTCTTTTAGGCAACAGATCATGTCTGGCACAATCTCTACCATTTGCAGGCTGATGACTCTGGGAAAGTTGCTTAGCATCTCTGKGCCTCAGCTCCATCATCCATAAAATGGGCACAGGAAATCACAATTGCTTCCTGCCTTCCCAGCACCAGTTCCCATTTTTCTCATGACACACCTTGATGTTTAGGGCAGTGGTTCCCAGAACAGCAGTCCGAGYACTACCGAGCTTACTAGGAAGGCAAATTCTAAGCCTTGATTCAGAAACACTGCAACCGGGTCCAGCAATGTGGGATGTGCACCTAGGCTTACAGAGGGGCACAAGAGGCTGTATCCTAGTTGCTTGTTTGCAATATGCRTGATCCTACAGCCACACCGCTCGCTGTTCCAGAGTGCCTGGCGCTGGCAGGGGCAGTTAGTGCTCCCCAAGTTTCACGACACCGGTGCTCGCAGTGGACACCAATGTGAGGCCCAGGTCCCCTTCAAGGAAGGGTTTTTTAATGGTCAAAATTGGGGTGTTCTGAGAGGAGTCAGTGAGTCGAAGAATGTTAGCCTGGAGAAGCCAGGAAACAATGACCTGGGGACTAAGAAGATATTGGGATTTACAAAGGGAAAAGACACGGTCTTGTAGGGAAATCTGTGTGTGTGTGTGTGTAGGTGGACACAATACCTTTATTTTGTTTATTATGTGACGCTGAGGAACGAACCCCGGGCCTCCGACGTGCTGGGCAGTGCTCTGCCCCAGAGCCGCAGCCCCAGCCCACTGTACGGAGACCTTAACAGGAGTGGGATGGGCGGCCGCAGTGGGCTGGGAGGGGTCCCACACTGTGGGTGATGCCTGAGGGAGGAGCACTGACAGGGATGTTCCAGGAAGGACCAATGGAACCACAGGCGACTGATGGGCGTCCCCACAGAATGCAAGTCATTGCCACCAGTGTGGCAGGAATTCTCATCCAGTGATGGGATTTGTCAGAGGGACAGTGCCCACAGATTGGGAAACCGAGGCAGGGATTCCAGAAATCCAGAGGAGTTGGAGGGCATCACTCACCCAATAGGCGATGGCCATGGCGGTGGAGGTCCAGTAACATGAGTTGTCCCTACTGGATCTGCAGAGGGAAGGGAAGGGGGGATGAGAAAGGGAAAGGAGGAGACCGGGTCAAGGTCAAGGGAAGGCCTGAGGGGCTGCCCATGTGGGAAGTTCACATGCCAGTTGCCAGTCCCCCATTTCAGCACCAAAATGTAAGAAAAGAACCAACTGAAGGAAATAAAGAGGCAGGAGAGGAGCTCAGTAGTAACACGGGGCTATTGGGGACAACCTGCACAGGGGCCCAGTGACACTGGAGCCCGACTTCCCCTGACAGCCTCGGGAGGTTACAGGAGGGAGAAGGGGCGGGGGAACCTCTGCAGTTTGGCCGTGGCTGGGGGACTGTTGGCAAAGGGTCCTCATGGTCATCATTCTTTGTGGTGGTCACTGCTCCATGTTCAATAAGGTGTTTCTCAAGATTTCGGTCCCAGATACTGATTCTCCTACAGGATGTCACCCGGGGTGTGGGTCCCTGAGGTGTGACTCACTAATACACACCCAGCTGTATCTGCATCYGGGAATCCTGAGCCAGATGTGCTCACAGCAGGCCCACACAGCAGGTTCTGCTCTCGGCTCAGGTCATGGACGAGGACACTGTGGCGAGGGGTGCCAACTTGTGCCATGGGTAAGCAAGGAGACAAGGATGGAGTCATCAGACTCTGGATGGAGGGGTGGCATGTCTGGTTTAAAAGGGTCCCTCTCCCTACTGAGTGAAGAACCAGGGGTCAGGGCAAAACCAGGGAGACCAGCCAGAGAGCCACTGGGGGCAGAGCGCAGCAGGATCAGGGATCTCCAGAGGGCCGTGGGACGGTCCCTGCCACTGCAGCTTTTTCAGGATCTAGCAGAGCTGGGCGCAGCCAAACGCTCGCTAAACACCTCGCAAAAGAACAAGTGAAGAAGTGGGGAAATGGTGAGGTGACGGGAAGGAGCCAGGCCACACTGTCCTGAGTGACAGCCAGTGCCTGCCACATACTGACGCTCAGCTAGGCGTTGAGGGGAAAAAGGAGCAAGTTCAAGGGAGGGCAGATGGGAACAGGGGGAAGCAGGGGAGTAGAGGAGGGGAAACAGGAGGAAGAAACTGGGGGGAAGAGGAGGMGAGGAGGGGAGGAGGGAGGAAAGCAGAGGGAGCTTTGCTCTTCACCTGAGCAGGGATGACACTGGTAACTGCGACCCCTGGTGGCAAAAGAGCCACAGTCCTTTGGAATTGTGCCCCAAATTAAAGTACCTCTTGTTCCCTATCACGTCTCAGCCAAGTTGCCTGTTTTTAAGCCAGTTCCCATCTGAAAAGTGGGGACAGCTGAGAGCTGCTCTCAGTAAGCAGCAGCGTGCTCCTCTGCCACTCGCAGCTACCCAGCAGGGAAGCCTTCACTCACTCCTGGTCACTGGCCCTGTGCAGCACACTCGGTGGGCACTGGCCGCAGTGAGCAAACAGACATGGCCCTGGTCCCTGCAGAATGCTTACTCCCTGCACGCAGGGGCTGTCTGTTTTGCTCACAGTTGTTGCCAGTACCCAAATGGCCGCAGGCACACAGAAGGCACCCAGGACACACTTGCTGACTGGAACCCACAGGAGGCACAGTGCTCCATCACACCCACACCTGCTGTTGGGCTGGGAGGCTAAAGGCCAGTTACTGGCACTTTTGTGTTAACTCAGTTTTCCCGCTCCGTAAGCCAGACTCCACAACCTCCACTCACAGCCACCTCACCACTGCTACTGACTTTCTGCTGTGACAGAAATCAACTCACTTTTCACTTACACAAAGTTAAAGGCACGTTAGTCAATTGTCTTAATTGGAAGGTAACCATAAAAGCACAGAGCAATGAAAACAACGTTACCTAAATTTYCAAAGCTATTCTAAGTCTGCTTTTTTAAATGAAAGCTTGGGGCTACGCAGCATTTTTCCTCTTTTCACTATGACCCTCAAAAAGAAATATGTTTAGGGCTGGGGCTGGGGCTCAGTGGTAGAGCACTCACCTAGCACGTGCGAGGCCCTGGGTTTGAATTTCAGCACCACATATAAATAAAGGTATTGTGTGCAGCTACGACTAAAACATAAATAAATAAATATTTAAAAAATATATTTGTCAAACCTAGCATATGTCTGTGATGGGTTTAAACTATGTCTAAATATATACTTGAGGGGCTGGGGATGTGGCTCAAGCGGTAGCGCGCTTGCCTGGCATGCGTGCGGCCCGAGTTCAATCCTCAGCACCACATACCAACAAAGATGTGTCCGCCGAAAACTAAAAAAAAATAAATATTGAAAAATTCTCTCTCTCTCTCCTCTCTCACTCTATCTTAAAAAATAAAAAAATAAATATATACTTGAAATACATTTCATAAAGTAATACACTAATATTTTCTAGTCTATATGACTCTTTCATCTTTTAAAAATGTTGTTCTATATTTCTCTAAAGTGGTTTTGAGTCAAGTATATCATGTACACAATAAAAACTACCACCAAGCCGGGCTGGAGGGCTGATACATACCATGGCCAACTGAGACTTTATCTGGGTCTCACCAAAAGGATCGAAGAGAATACAGTTMTCATTATGTGGTTCCCCCCTTAACCCACATGCACATGGAGGATACAGGTCAGTTTGGGAGAAAGTCTGACCCAGATTAAATTTATATGCCCAATTCTGCCTAGAACACGTCTTACGTAAGCTCTTGAGAACAGAACTACAGATGATAATGGTGACCCTYGACAAGCATGTCCACAGACCACTTAAAAATATCTCAACACCTTTATTAAGCCTATTCTCATTTGGAGCATTTTCTCAAATTTGCTTTGAGAAACAGCTTAACTGAGTGGTGTCACACAGCTCTACCCAACCATGGACCTCTTTCTTCCTCTTAGGCGCACTTCATCTAATTTTTTGAGCACTGGCTTGGACTTTTTGGAGGAGGAGGAGTAACTCTTCAGAATGGCTTCAAACACAGCCTCAGTGTTGGGGTGGGTACTAAGGAAGGCTTTCTCCAGGACGTAGAGATCCACTCCCTTATCTTCCGGAAGTCCTGAAACGAAACTCAGCCCAAAGTCTACGAGYACAATGTTCAGCTGATCCACGGGGGGTTTCAGAAGCATGTTGGAGGTGGTAAGATCGCCATGAATGAGGTCTTCATCATGCATTCGAGCCAAAACCTGCCCAACTGCCTTGGCTAAGGCATAGAAGATTTGGGGAGCTCTTTCAGCCTTCAGAGCGGATCGAATATAATCGCGAACAGTCACTGAGCCTTCAATTTCTTCCATGTATAAGCAGTTGGAAGCATAGTCCACAAAAAAGACAACCGGGGCTGATATCCCTGCAATCAATACACAAGTCGTTATTGGGCTGAATTCTTTTTAATGATAGCCTTCATTTTCAAAGACTGAGTCAGTTTTCAGCTTATATCTATTTATTTTAGAAAAAGATTTAGGAATGGCGCAGAAAATGGTACAACTTATCTGAAAGTTCCCTTGCTCAGGCACTGCAGAACTATGCCTGAGACCACCCACAGCTAAGTTTAGAGAAGTCAAAGCTTTCTCTCCTAAATCACCTTTTATAACTAGATTTCATTTGTCATACTTAACTCCCTAAAAAAAAAAAAAAAGAAAGATCTAAAAGGGGACTCATGATCCAGCCAGCGCAGTTTCTACCTGACAAGGAAACAAACAGGCCAAGCAGTATGCTGGCTTAGAGGTTCATCTCTGTGCTCAAAAAGAAAAGGGTTCGAATCCCAGCCCCCATCCTTATTACCTGTGTACTTTAAAGTTACATTAGCTTCTCTCAAGCCTCAGTTTGTGCTACAATAACATAAAACAATACCGCGAACACACTCGAKGAATTTTTATTGAATGTCAACCATGCTCAGGGCACGTCTAGAAACTAGAGATATGTCAATGGGGATACAGGAGCAAACAAAGAAACCATGTTCTCTGCTTAATGGCACTTACACCATACAAAGGGTCAAAGGAGAAAACAGGAACCAATAACTTCATTAAAAGGATAGCAATTTACCTACATTTGCACTGATGAATTTTCCCAGGTCACCCAAATCTTAATATCTTTTTTTTTTTGCTTTGTAAACAATAGTTTTATACAAATATAAAGTTGTGCACCTTCCAAGCTATCACTCCAACACACATTTATTCAACTAAAACAAAACATCTTTAAAAATATTTTAACAATGTACAAATACATTCACAACATAATCTGCTGATTAAAAGACTCTGCAACAAAGTTTCTAGTACCTACAACAAAATTTACAACTGCCTACAATAATTTGTAGATTGGTTTAGTTTACAGTTAAATATATTGCCTTGTTAAGAAATATTATTAATATAAATGTATGGTTTACAATATCCCCATTATAGCAAGAAAAAATAGATTCATATAATGTCTTTAGGCATTTATTATGCCAAGTATTTAAATAATTATTCTTACTATGACATAAGAACAATATTCATTTAGTACTAAAAGATTTTATTAGTCCAGAGACCACTGAAGAGTTTCCAGGAAATTCCAAAATAAAATCTGACGATCCTTTCCACGAAATAACTAGAACAGCAGCAATCCCTTGGGTATCCCTTAAACAAACTATAAAGATTCCTTTTATTATTTAGGCCTTAAGTAAAAAAATAAATTTTAGAAACTAGTTAACACTACCAGCTTGAATTTGGTTTTCACTTGTGCATGTCTAAGGTAAGCAATTTCAACATGAAGTATATATTTAAAATTAACAGTTTTTTCTAATTTTTAACTCATACACAAGCCAAGTGTTTACTCTTAATCATGGAATCAACTTATTTCTGAAAATAACCTACAGAAATAGTATGTAAACACACATACCTTTGACTAAGAACATTCTATTTTCTATGGATCAAAATGCAAATATCTCTGTAACATGTAAACTAACACATTAATTTGGGATATATGGATACTTTACTATATGCATACATATGTACACCATAAAATAAATTC